TGTTTGGAAAATACAATATATCAAAAGACAGATATAACTGCACTTTATGTTTGGAAAATACAATATACAGTGATTTACATGAGTTTGTGTGACAGAGGTAGGAAAAAGGAGCCCACAGCCTCAAATATTCACTAATTTATCCCCAGAATCCCCCTACAAGAACACATTCACCTGTTCAGTAGGAGCTGATTTTTTCCTGTCTTTATTCTTATCCCTATCCTACTGTGGCAAAAGGTAAAACACAGAGGTTTTACCACTCTATGTAAATTAAGAGTTTGGTTTTCTTGGTGGCGAAACACCACCAATATTTTATACTGTATAAATTTTATAGAACACCAATCAATATTTTATACTGATTTTATTGTATTCAGTAGTATCACTGAATATTTGTATTTAAAAAAATCTTTCCCTAATTCCAAACAACTTTGTGGAGATGGAACTTCTTAAAGACAGACATTCATTAAAAATCATGGATAGCAGAAACAAAGCTTTCCTGATCAAAAGCTTAAGAATAAAGGATTAAATAGCACTACTCTTATACAGGTGTTTCTAAAACTTGCAATAGCTGCCTGCAGTTGCCACTATTCTAGCAAAAGGCATTGTTTTGTTCCTCAGAGGATTGACAACTAGGCCACAAGAGAAAAAACAAAGCTCATCATTAAGTGTACAAGTTCCTTCTCAAGAGAGACATTAGACACCTTTCAACCCTGAAACACTCATTTATATTCTCTCATCTTAATACAATAATACTAAGCTAATAAATCAGAAGTCTATGACCAGACCAAGAAGTTACTCAGAGTCATAAAAATACCTCTGATAATCACTCAGCTCTCTATCTCGAGTCCATTTGCAGGTTCCTCACCCACCTTTTCCATACTGGTATTTTTGAGCAGCAGAGTAACCGTTGCCTCCCAACAGCCTACACCCCCAATGCAGGCTTCACAAAGATAACAACAGATCTTTATTTTACCCATTTCCTGTCACAACCCTGTCAGTCCACCCTAAAAGAGATCCTAAGAACAATATACTTTCCACAACACAATTAGTTTCTGTTAAGTCTTTATCATTTTGCATGTTTACACAGTTTGAAGACTATAGTGTCTTCATCTATCTCTACGGAGATCACCTCTCCCCCAGACACCACTTCTCCTGATGATGATACAAGAACCATACCTGTCGTTCACAATAGGCTTTCATTAGTTTACTAAGTGGTGTATGCCTCTTAATCTTAAACTGCACCACAGACCCATCTTGCCCTGCCACCTTCAGATTAATGTGGTCATTGTTTTCAGTCTTCACTCCTTCCTGTTGAGGAAATAAAAGAAAAAGAAAACCAACACTTTTTTTTTTCAAAAGGCACGAAACGAGAAGTTAACATTTTACCAAAGTGCAACAGGTCATCAAAAAGTGGGAAATAAAGGCATCATAGGTGTTTACCAACTTCAAACTCTGAATTCGTAAATAAATGTCAGTACTTTTAATTTGAAAGTCATTTAAAAAAAAAGTCACACACACAAAACCCCCAAACCCTACTCATATTAGCTGTCATTCTTGAGATTGGTTAACATGCGAAGTAGCAGCAAAGACTTACTGGGCCAATTGTTTTACAACATTTTTTTTTTTTGAAAAAGCAATCTCTATAAAGGGCACAATAATATACACACTACAGTTCCCAATCAAAGGAATAAAGTTATTTATGTTACAACTATAATCTCAACCACTAGGAAGCCTCTTTCTTACTGTATTTCAAACTTTTTCATATCAGGTACTTCTGAAGAAAACTTCAAGCCACTTTCAAGGACCGGATTTGAAAAGGTGACAAAAGCTGAAGGGAACCAAGCTTTCTCCTTCGGAAAAAGTTTAAAAAAAAGAAGCAGCAAAACCCAAACCCTCCTTCATGAGCAGTGCGATCCTCTCCACATGCAGAAACTGCAGAGAACCAACTTTCAACGCCGTGGCTCCTGTTCCCATCCCGAGTTACCAGGGGAGAGGGGGAAGGAGAGGACCCAGAGCTCCCCGGCAGCAGCATTTCCATCTTTATTTTCTTTGGGAGAGGCGGCCGGAGGGTGCGGGATGGCCCGGCCGGGACCCTCCGTGGGACAGAACCCCGCGCAAGGTTTAATATTTTCAAACTCAGTTTAAAAATGCGAAGAAGAAATTAAAAAAAAAAAAAAACAAAAAAAGAAAGAGGAGCGGGTAGAGAACGGCGGCAGCGCGGCGTTCGCTGGCTGTGGGTTTGGGTTTTCGCCGTGTTGCCTTTTTTTTTTTTCTTTTTTTTTAATTATTCTCAATTCCCGCTGTTGCGAAGCGAAGCCCCACGCGGCTCCGCCGGGCTCGGCCCGCGGGAGCCCCCCCCCGGGCGGC